GTTATCATTAGGGCACAGTGTTGTTTCAGGTAATTTCAATGGCAAAATATGAAACATGATAGATCTCTTAATTGCAGACATTTGTGTGTGTGTGTGTGTGTGTGTGTGTGTGTGTGTGTGTGTGTGTGTGTGCGTGCGTGCATGTATGTGGGTTGGATTTCTATAGGGAGAACAAATTGACTGGCTATTCTGTTCACAAACTGTTCATTTTTTTTAACCAAACTGGTTTTTTGAAGTAATGGGATTTGAAATCAGGGCTTTACACTTGCTGTGCTGGTACTCTACCACTTGAGTCATACCTCCAGATCTACTTTTTGCTGCTTTTTTTGGAGGTTATTTCCTGTCCAGACCAGCCTCCAATCTTGGTCTTCCAGATTTAGGGCCTAGCTTTCCCCAGACTTTCATATTTTTGATAATCTTAGGATTTGTCTTATTCATTTGAAAAGTCTCTTTTGGTCAGGAATTTTAAATGATATTAAAATATTTTAACTTTTCTTCAATTTGATTAGATATTCAGATTTTTTTCCATTTTGAAGTCCTTAACATTTTGTAAGTATTGATTTATTGCCTAATTTAATAGCACCAAAGACATCAGTGAAATATTATTCCAAAACCACTCTATTATTCAAGGAGCTGCTTTGTATAATAGCATCTGTGCTCAAATGTCATCTGTGAAGCTGTCTTATCCTTAAAAAAAAAAAGGTGTTAAATATAATTGTGTAGAAGAGAAAGCATGGGATTTATTTTTGTGGAAGGCTCACCTTAGACAAATATTGACAAGAGTCATGGATTTCCTGGTGATAGAGTAGGGTTGTTTATATTCTAGATCAAATAGAGAAGATTCTGACCATCAGATTAAGAAAAATTTGGGCGCAAAGCTTGAGCTTAAAACAGAGGTAGCAGCTAGAAAGACTGCTACCTTCCCATTTGATTAAATTGTATAAACAACCATTCTTTTCATGCCATTATCAAAAAATACTTGATTTCCTTTTTTGTCCTTTGTATTTTTCTTCATTATGGCCTTTATAATTTAATATGTTTGTGATCACATCCTGTGTGTCATGCACTCATTTGACTATTGCTAGTTTTCAGTTAGTATGTTTCATATTTTGACGCATTCTCTTTTGCAACTTCTTCCTCTGTATCTTTCCAAGCCTCTCAAGTTGTGGAAGTGAAGTCTAATATTTGATCTATCACTACTGCTTACATATTTGCTGCTACCTTTAACATTATTATTTATACAGCTCTTTTAATTCTATACATTTAAAAATATTTCATCACTTTTCTGAATATGGTCATTAAATATAGGAAATGGATTGAGTAGTTTCCATCTTGTCTTCCTTCTAAAGAAGACCCTCCTGTCACAATTTGCCTAGAGTCTCTCTAAAACTATTTAAGATACGAAAGGGCTCAAATGTCAGCTCCCATGTGAATGTCCTGTATTAGGAAAACCCAAGCAGCTTAACTTGAGCACATGAAGTCATTTTTGTTTAGAATTTAGCAAGAACATTGTCACCTTCCCACTCTGCATTGTGTGTGTGTGTGTGTGTGTGTGTGTGTGTGTGTGTGTGTGTGTGTGTGTGCTGGTCCTGGGGTTTGAACTCAGGAACTGAGTGCTAGAGCTCTATCACATGAGCTCCAATTCTGGCTTTTGTTCCTTAATTGGAGATCAGAGTCTCATGGACTTTCCTGGCTGGCTTGAAACCACTATCCTTACAGCTCGGCCTCTTGAGGATTACAAATAAGTGTACAATATTCTTGAGGATTACAAATACGTTTAGCCCCCTTTCATTTATTTAAAAATATAATGACTATGTACAAAGTACTATGATACACAGTAGTCTTTCCTTATTTAGAGAAATAAAACTTAGAATTTGCATTCGAGAAAATTCTCATAATTTGAGAAGGCATATGATGAGCTACTGCTTAAAAAGAGTAAGAGACATGTAAAATGTTGTTGCAGAAATGTTATCAAAGGGCAATGGGGAGTGACAGAATACCTGAGAAATCAACTGAAAAAGGAGGAAAGCTTTTTTATTTTTCCCCTCAAAGTTGCAGAAGTTTTGGTCTGGGGCTGGTTGACTCTGTTTTTTTCACTGACTATAGAAGAGCAAGGATGCTCACAGGAAGCAAAGAGAGGGTGGGTGGGGATGAGTTAGGGCCCCAATAATTAGGGCTCCCTCTAAAGATATATCCTAAGTGATATAATGTCTTTCTACTTCTTAAAGGTTCCATCATATCAGCAGTACCTGGGGACCAACTTTTAACACATGCATGATCCAAAACATAGCAAGGAGATAATGGAAGAAATAATTTGTATATACACACACAAATGTCACACCTTTAAAATATGACTTTTTTAGTTGATGAGCTTTTTGGGCAACTTGGCACTGGAATTTGAGTCTTGAAGAAATAAGATTTTGTTTGCCACGTGTAGACAAGTGAATGGATAAAGGTTCTCTTAATTCTAAGATGGTTTTCTGCTCTTCAGATATGCTGAGGTGGATGTTACTCCTTGTACAGCTCTCATAAGTAGTGAGGACATTCTGACTGTACACAACTAAATACAACGCGGGAGTGTGCCTATGGATAGAAAGTGCTTACTGGGTGCATATAACAAATTGTAATAACTTGAGTACACTTAAATAGAAAAAAACAGAACCTTAGCCAATTCAAATTATGAAATTTTAGAGCAGGGAAAGACCTTAGGACTTGCGTCTTTAAAACAATCCCTTTCACAAAGAAGTCACAAGAAGGCTCAGTTCTTGAGCAAGGTCACCAGTCCATTTGGGCAACCTTTCTCTCTCATCTGAAGGCCTAGATTTGGGATGGGGGGGGAACGATTCTATATCTGTTAAGGTCATTTTCATGGAGGTTAGGAGATCCTTGAATCTCCAGGACTCATTTTTTAGAGAAGGATCCTGTAAACTCTTCAGTAAACTTGTGCTTTGAGGTAAATTGGGAAGGAACCTAACATGAGCCAAAGGCAGGAAATGCTTTGGGAGTCAGAATCTGCGAAGTAAAAATAGGGAATAATCTACACGTGGGGGAAAAAAAAACAATACTCATATTGGCAGGACTCACAGGTTGGGATACTTATTTCACCTAAAAGAGAGCCGGGGAGGAATAGGATTAGAGAGAGGGAGGAAAGGGAGGGAGGGAGGGAGAGAGAGAAAGAAAGCGAGAGAGAGAGAGAGAAAGAGAGAGAGAGGGAGAGAGAGAGAGAGAGAGAGAGAGCGAGAGAGAGAGAGAGAGAGAGAGAGAGAGAGAGAGGAAAGCGAGCGCTAGCCAGCCAGCCAGCCTGTGTTTCCCAGCTAGAGAGGTACCCTTTGTCTGACAAACCCTGAAAAGGAAGCCTCTTGCAGCAGCAGCCCAGTACTTCCCACCTCCAAGGGTCTGCCTAGCTGCTAGGTGGAGCCCGCGCCGCGGAGCCCGCGCGGGACTCCAGATCCGGGTTTTGCCGACCGCCCCCTTTCCCTGGCTCGGGCCCCCCTCCCGGACTCACGGAGCTCTCGCCCGTGGCCCGCGGGTGGCTCATTCTGGCCTCGGTTGCTTCGGCCGCCGAGCGCAGGCTGCACGGCCCCGGCGCGCCCGCGCTCCGACCGGCTGTCAGCGCGCCGCCGCTCCGCCTGCTCGCTGGGCATCTCGCGCTCCTGTTCCCCGGAGCGGGGATGCGGATGCTGCGGCCGGTCGGGGAGGAGGAGGGCGCCGCCGCCGCTGCTGGCATTTCCCGGACTGCTGGTTGCCTGGGCTCTCGCAGCTGCCGCCGCCGCCGCCGCCGCCGCCTGTGACTCGCCCCCTCCCCTTTCTTTCTTTCTTTCCTTTGTATTTATTTTTCCCCCCTTCCTCCGGAGAAGAGGGGCGTTGAGCGCGCGCGCGGGAGCTGCACGCAGCTCTGCTTCTGGCAGGAGCTCGCTCGGGTGTGTGCGCGCGTGTGTGTGCGTGTCCGGAGAGCGCCCGAGCCCCCGCTCGCTTTGGGGGAGTCGAAGAAGAGAAAGCACCGCGGACCAGGAGGAGGAAGAGGAAGAGACGGAGGCGGTGGCTCGGAACCCGGGCCGCGCGATGAAGCTCCCACATGCCCGCAGCTGCCCGGTTCCACCGGCGAGCTAATCAGCCACCTCCCGGGCTCGGGGCTCGCCAGCCCCGGGGGACGCAGCCCTCGGCGGCCCGGCGCCCGCTCTGCCCGCGCGTCCCCGCCGTGCTCCGGGGAAGGAGTTTGCGTGGCTTCGGCTCTGGCTCTGGCTCTGACTCTGGCTTTCGGCGCGGGCTGCGGGCGCTCGAGCAGACCCTGGGTTGGGAGAGAACCTCGCCGGGAGGAGGAGGAGGAGGAGGGAGAAGAGGAGGAGGAGGAAGAGGAGGAGGGCTCGGCGGAGCCACCCCTGGCCCTCACGGCTCCCCCTACCTATCCCCCAAGTCCCGCTCTGAGGCGGAAAGGGGAGGACGGGGAAGAAGAAGAAGAAAAAGACCGAGCCGGGGGGTGGGGTGGATGCACCGGGTATAAAAACCGGCTGGGGGGGGATGGTGGAAGATTTTTGGTCTCGGCAGCGTCTTTGCTCAAGCGGCGGCGGCCACAGCAATTGCGAGTGGAGGAGAAGCAGCCCAGCTATGACTGTCGCATGTTAATCGCTGCCGCTCGGGTCCCTGGGCTGCTGCTGCTGCTGCTGCTGCTGCTGGAGACCCAGCCTCACTTCGAAGTTGTGCAACTGTGGACTGGGAGAGACATTTGAACCCTGGTTTGTTTTTTAAAATATTATTATTATTTTTATTTTTCCTCTTGGCCCCGCTCTGGTCCCCTTGGAGCGGGTGAAGCGAGGAAACCTAAAGCCAGAGAAGCATTGGGGGGAGGTTTCTATCTCTCCCCCCCACCTCCCGCCCCGCGCCCCTTCCACCCCACACCTTCCTCTTTCCCTATGGCTGTGTAAGCTGAAGAAAGGGAAGACTTTGTGTTGTTTCCTTGATTGGCTTCTCCGCCCTCCGGCTGCCTGCCCTGCGTTTTTGGTTCTCCTCCTCCTGTGCCGCGCGTGGTGGGGGTGTTGTCTTCGTTGGGGCTGGTCCATCGTTTTGCCCCGGGCTCCATGGCTGGATTGTGGAACATTGCACCCGCTTGCAGGTTGTTGAGCTACTGATGGGACGGACGATCGCAGGCACCGGCGGTTCCGGAAGGTAATGTATTCTTCACACTCTGGCTTGATCGTGTTCGCCCCGCTCGGGCGCCAGCGGCGGCGGGCGGATAAGCTGAGGGCGGGGGTTAGGGGGGTGCGGGGTTCACGCACCTCACCCTTCCACTCACACATTCGCCTGCACACACACGCGCGCGCGCAGACACACACACACACTCACACAACTGATCGTGATGCGGGGCGGGAAGGGAACCTCTTGGCTGGGGGGGGTGGGGGGGAGGGCGCTGGGATCTGGTCGGGGTTCGAGATTTTCCCAGGCACTGGCGATTTGGCGGCCGAGCGGGATGAAGGGAAGAGCGGAGAGGGCGCCTTTGCAGTCGCACACGCCGGGGGAATAGGGACGGCTTTCACCCCGGGAATGTTCCCTCCCCTCTCACTCCAGTGCCATCCTCTGGTAGGGGCAGAAAGCAGCCGAAGGACGCTCCCTCCACCCCCCCCCCCATCCCCATCCCCACTCCCCAAGCTGGGCTGGAGCCCTTGCCACTCCAGGCGGGAGCGGGCTGGAGGACCCACTGAGGAGCTAAGACCCGAGGTGATGGAGGATGCAGGGTGGTAAGCCCGGGCGCTGTCTTCCCTCCACGAGGTGGCCACGCTTGCCCAGGTCGCGCCCCTGAGCGGTGGAGCAGCTCAGCTCAGCCTGCACCCCTCCTGTTCGGTCCCCTTCACGCCAGTTCGGCTTAGACCTGCGTGCCCAGGCTTTGTTAGGTTGTGGCGAGAGAAAGCAGCCTCTTTGGTGGGTGGCTTGGGGCTGACGGTGCTGGTAGTGAGGCACTGGGCGGTGGGGAGGGTGGTGGTAAGTAAATCAGTGCGGGCTGCGGCGCCTGCCCGGGGTGGGGTGGGCAGAGCATTTGGTGGCCGGGTTACAGGTAGGAGGGTAGGCATCCTGGCGCTTCTGTCGGGAGAAGAGAAGTCTCTGGGTTGCAGCGGAGACTGTACTGCTGGTCCTACGTCGGAGGTTGCAGGCTGAGCATGCCTGCAGCATAGGTGTGTGTGTGTGTATGTGTGTGTGTGTGTGTGTCTTCGGGCCAGGGGTTAGTTGACAATGGGGTCGTCGGCCTTGTGTGTGTCTGGATGTGTGCGTTCGTTCGCCCCCCGGGATGGTAGGGAGCTCTGATCGGGGGTGGGAGAGCTGACGCCAGTTGAGCTGAGGTTGTGCATGCAAATCGCCTAGGATTCGTTTAACTGGAAAATCTGGTTGAGGAGGCTGAGGGGCCCTCGGAGAGGTGGTGAAGAAGCCTCCTCTTCCTGCTCCCCCGCCGCCAGAGAAGCGCTGCTGCCCCAGATGGGTGCGACGTGTGTGAGAGTCACTGGGGCTGCACTCGACGCTTCCCTGATGGGCTGTGAGGAGGACCTCCTAGAGTAGTCCTCTCGTGCCCATTTGAAGTCGTCCAGTGAAGCCCGTGTAACGTCTGGCCACTTCTCTTGCTCGGGTTGAAACGTGTGTTGCCTGTATTTATGGCTAGGGATCTAGCAGTTGGGCGAACTCTAGGCATGCTTCCCTATGTCGTGTCTCCTCCCTGCGTCTCCGTGTGTCCCTGTCTGCAGTGGTTAAGGAGCATTGTAAACAACAGTGTAAGCACCCTTGCCCCAGTCCTTTAGAGCTGAACCTGCTGGTGTCTGTGGTGTTTACTTTCCCGGGTGGAGTATAAGACTTTTTGCACCTCTCATTTTTACATCCTCCCAGGCAGCTGCTGAGGGAAGGAGGAGACGCATAGACTCTGGCAGGAAGGGAAAAAAGATGCCTTCTGTGTTGTGCTCCAAAGTAAATAGGCTGTCTGCTAATTTTAGTGTCATCATCACTAGTTAAAGAATGCCATGAAGAGAATCTGCAAAGAAACACTTCTTTAGCGGTTTTCTTTTTCAATGTGGAGAGTATCTTGTATTTTTCTCTAGGAGCGATCAGAGCTTAGTCAGATTTCCCTAATAAATTGTTCAATCTGCAGTGGCACTAACTGATCTGGAGTTCTGTTGCCTGAATTATCTGAACGAGGATTGCAAATAGTACTGCTAATTCCTTTATACTATCACCCAAAGCGGGTACCAGATCGTTTGTGAAACTGATAGGTATTTGTGTTGAAATCCCTCTTAGCATTTTTGAGTCTCATCTTTTCTTTTTAAAGTATCCAAAGTAAGGTCAAGAGCATGTAAGGATAAATATTTTTTTCCCAATGTTACTTTTGCAAAGAGAACTGCTTTTAGACTGTAATAAATGATCAAACCCCTTAATTCTAGACTAAATGTTTTGGTGAATATAGCAAATGGCTACAGTCTGATTAGTTTAAAAAAAGTTATGTAAATCAGTATTTTTAAAAATCATTCCTCCTCCTCCTCCTCCTCCTCCTCCTCCTCCTCCTCCTCCTCCTCCTCCTCCACCCCCTCTTCCTCCTCCTTCTGCTCCTCCTTCTATCTTGACCTCTTGGAAAGCTTATGTTGCAGGAGAAAACTCCTGAATCAGTGATGCCTGATTTTGATTAAGTTTTTATGAGAGATTGCTAGTGGCGACCCTAATAGAGAACTTAGGTAGTTGTGATTTCAGTCATGAAAATCTAGCTTTACCTGTCTCTGTTTCATTTGTCTTTACACTTGTAAATGTTTTTGAGGATTTGATTGCTTTGCTCCCATTTTAGAAGGTCTGATCACTGCGATTCCCAATCTTTACATACTAAAAAAAAAAAAAAAAAAAAAGATCAGATCTTTTCTTTGTTTCCTAGCAGCATGCAGTTCGAGGCAGTCATACATTCCACAGGTCCTGATGTCATTAGAGCTGTATCCGTCAGTGCATTGCACTGTCTTTAGCTGAAGGTGAATGTGGCAGTGTTTGAATGCCATTCCATAGCATTACTTTTTCACTAAATATTCAATGACCTGCTCCATTGGACTGTACGATTGACTGGGTTACTACATACTGGGCAGGAGGAATGTTCAGGAGGAAGGGTTATATGAACAACTTGATTTTTTTTTTTCAGATAGAGATGTTAGGCTGCATCAGGCATCCCTGGGCAGAGAAGTGGTAAGCCAACCTGTGATTTGTCTGATGAGTAAAATGCTTTTGATGTTTGTTGAGGTTGAATAGAGTGATGATTCTCCTTCAAATTAAGAGCCTTCTTCAAGTATATGAATGGAGGGTCTTTCAGAAGTGATTTTCTTATTAATGTTCTTGTACATCTTGCAGATTTAAATATTCCTATCCTGAGGGAATAATAGCAAGTATGGGACTTCCTGGCTCCAGCTGCTGTGTCTGGCAATGTTTCTAGTATGCAGGATAGGCAAATTGCTTTATGGACTTGATTTACCTTTGATTCCCTTTGCAAATGATACCCAAGGAAATCATAAATAGTAGATTTAAAAGATTATAAAATCATAAGGCTTGAAGTCAATGAAATGATATAATACAAAACTGTATTATTTCTCAGATTTGATTTGGACCACTTTTAGATTTGGTTGAAACTCTCTTTGAAAAGGACTGTTAAGTAGAAGTGACAGTTACTGTTAAAAATGGGATATATAGGTGCAGAAATCAGCAAGGTACACTGATAGCAATTTTTACATTTAGGAACAAATTGTGATTTAAAGAAATGTTATGCTGTTTTAATTTAGTACTGTCTGAATCAAGATGAGAACACTGGGAATTACAGCAAGAAAATCCTTCTTTAAGTTTGGCAAATGGCTATTCTTGCCTTTGATTAGTTACATTTGCATTCCATTCAAAATATGCATTTGCTCTCTTTGAGCTGAACTCTGAAGACTGAGGCTATATTGTAACTCAGGATTTGTTTGCCCCCAAGGACATGTAAACACTGACACTACTGTTGCATTTAGATCTTTTGCTTTTATGCAAATTCATTTGTTTAAAGAATACCATATTTTATAATAAAATAAAACAGTCAAGTGTAAGGTCCTCCAGATACTATTCCTTTGTTAGCTCTCTCTCTCTGTCTCTCTCTCACACACAATCACACACACACATGCATGCACACACAAACACATGCATGCACACACACACACACACACACAAATACATGTTTATCCATGCAGAGAAGAGTCCAGATTTTTCATTCATTGTGATTTTGGTATTCATGCTTATTGGCAGTTTAGAAAGTAGTTTTTGTATCTTCATAAATAGCATGCATGATTACTAAGATGTATAGGTTTTCTCCAAATATTTAATATTTTATCCTGGTCTGAGTAACAATAAAATCACTCTTCTATATCCAAATAAAATATTTTAATTGTGAAATCTTCTAATGCTATCACCCCCCATAAATTATTCAAAAGAAAATGAGTTAGCCTTTTCCAATGTACTTGCACTTCTCCATTTATTTTGGGGGCTGAGCATGTGGAGATTAGTTCTTCTGTATTGGGTAGTGATACATTCCATAAGTCTTATTTTTTTGGTGGGAGGGCTGTTTGATATTTTTTGTAGTATTACGGATTGAACCCACATTGTTTTGTATACTAAACAATCACTGTACCACTGAGTCAAATGCACCCCTATAATAGGTTTTAATCAGTCATTCTTTGCCTGTCTTACTGACATTAAAACAGCAGTAACTTGATTTTAATGTTTATCAATATCTTTGTACGAGTACTTGAAAGCAAATGAAGTAAGAATTTGCCCTATATTATTCAGTCATTTAAGTGGAATATTGTTAATGGCAATCATGTTTTGAAAACCGTCCTTGGAATGAGAAAATGAATTGCCTAACTGAATATTTTTGTTTTGTAAGCCTTGTATTCCAGAATAATGTTGTTGTCTCAGTGGTCTCCAAGTTTTGGTGAATAATGTGGCTCTCAGATCCTTTCAGAGGGTCCACCAAGAGAAAATAACATTTTCTTAATGATGCTTAGACATCTGTTGCCATTCACTCTTATATTTTAACAACTATGGAGATTTCCAGAAACAATATGATATGTGATGACATCATTGCTTTGATACCTTGTGACATTTGTCCCTTGTATATTCTTGTGTTTTCAGATTTCCCC